AAGACCTGATGTTTCACTTAGGATAGCCATTTTCTCAAAGCAAACTGGATTTCTTGCCACCTCGTGGCCAGTTGCTGTGACTGGCATCTACTTTGGGCACCCAGCCTAGGAGATTTGGTCATTTCCCTGTCTTCACCGAGTAAAATCCAAAGGAAATGACATGGGAATAGATTTGTCATGTGTCTGCATCCTTACTTTACTAAAGTGCACAGGCAGTATTTTTTTTATTTGGGTTCCTAATTATTGGTAGAATTTTAGATTATATTGAGGTTTTTTCCCCATTCAGTAGTTTGACACCTTAAATGTTCATCTAGACTAAAAAAAGTCAAAGCCGGGATCTTATTAATAGCCATATTGTGAGAACAACACAGCCACATAATCAAATAGCCTACACAACTTTTGTACAAGGCTATGCTTCTCCATCAATTTGCAGTCTTAAGTCAAGGAGACTTGTCCTCTGATGTCACATAGGTGTTTTTTAAAGATTCCATCTATAGATGCCTAAATATAGGTCCAAGAGCCCAAGTTTAGATTCTCATTTGATAACGTTGACCTGCAAAGTGTCTAGGCAAAGTATTTGTGTCACAGAGAAGAGATTTTTAAATAAAAACCCAATCTTAGCCCCAAATCTGCAAATTTATACTCCCATGATTACCTTTACCCACATTATTATTTCTTAAGAAGTCAATGGGAGTACTCACGTGAACAAAATTGTATACTTGGTTATATATTTACCAGGTCAACTACCTCAGATTTTTTTTTCCCTGAGATCAGTTTTGTAAAATTCAAACAGGATATCCTACCAGCCACAGGATTACAAAAAAACTTAGCATTTATAATCTAGTTTTATTTACACACACACACACACACACACACACACACACACACACACACACACACACACACACACACACACTTTAATCTTAAATTGCAATACCAAAAAGAAGTAAAGCCTCTACACAAATTGAATCAATTAAAACACACAATCATCTGAAGTGGTCTCATCCTACAATATGTTTCTTTTCCAATAAATCAAATAATTAAGGGACCTTTTTTATATTTAGTCATTAGTAACAAAACTAAAAAACACAACAAAAACAAAAACAAATAAAACCTCCCCAAACAACTGACAGAATGCATACAGCTAAAATGTGCTACTGAACAAAACTGTAGGAGGTCACACAGGGCAAGGAATTACCCAACAAAACAGAGTTCACAACAAACATCTGTGCTACATCCACTTGAGCATGGACGTTTGGTTCCCCTGGGACAGCTAGCAGCGGCGCACCTTGTGCCACCACTACTTATCCCCAGTGAATGCCTATGCCACGCACCCTCTTGCACGTGGCGTTACCTTGTGTGGGGTAGGGAGGCTGGGGTCAGCACTGGGCTGGCCCCAGAAGCTTTACCTTAGGTTCTGGGGGCCTCCTGGGTCAGCAGCAGTGGCTTAAAGCCTGACTAGCAGCCAGACTGTGGCTCTGGCCGGCCCGGCTTTGGTTTTGCGCAACATGCACTGCTCCTGCATGCGCTTTGCTTTTCTGAGGGTGTTTTTGGACCCCATATCCAGGGGTTCACAAAACAAAACAAAACAACACCCTCCCAAAAAACCCCAAACTCTGTGCTGCTCCCCTGCAGCATGGAGAACAGCTGAATATGCAGTACGTGGTGCCACAGACATGTCTGCAGTGCGACCTACCGCACTGCCACGCTCCTCTGGACGAAGAAATAAAGCCACAAAGAAACAGAGTAAGAGAAAGACATTTTTAGAAAGAGCATTACACTGAAGAGGTGCCTTCTGCTCATTGAAAGAAAAAGGGAAACAGAAAAATCCTAAGAAGAATATCATCTAACTGTAAAGAAGAGACAGCAAATATTCCCCACCTATGAAATGGTCCATTTCAAGCTGAAGCGGCTTGTTTTCAACAAATATAAAGGGATAGCTAATCAGCAAGGTATGCTGGGACACTTTCCTATGCAAAGGACCCTGGTCAGGCATTTGTAAGTAAAAGTGCAGCTTCCATTTAATTATTTATTTATTTTGATGCCCAGGCATCTGACTGAACGGCATCCCCATGTTTTAAGGTTGGACTCTTATGTTTGAAATGCGGCAGCTTTTTATAGGCAGACAAGGTTCCTTGGGTAAATCTGATATCTTTTATTAAACCAACCCAAATAGTTGGAAAATAATTATTAAGCAAGCTTTCGGGTTCAAAAACCCTTCGTCAGGCTAAGGAAGTTTCAGCAGTTGGTGTGTGCTCTTCATCCAGGAAGAGCACACACCAACTGCTGAAACTTCCTTAGCCTGACAAAGGGTTTTTGAACCTGAAAGCTTGCTTAATAATTATTTTCCAACTATTTGGGTTGGTCAAATAAAAGATATCAAATTCACCCAAGGAACCTTGTCTGCCTATGTCCTTAGACCAACACGGCTACAACCTACATGCCTGTACCTTTTTATACGTATTTTTCAATGGTTACTATAAGAAATAGTGAAAGAATTCTGACATCACCTGTTACAGAAACACTTAACCCTTTTTATTCTAGCCTGTAAGCAAACTATGAAGTAGCTGATGAGGAACATTAGAGATAGAGCACACAAAATGGCAGAGGTGCAACTTTGAGCATCACAATCTCCTTCCAAACTCTTTGAAATCCAATTGTATTTTCTGGCACCTTTCTGATAAATGACATCTATGGAAGTTCAGGGCTTGATGAGTTACAATACAAGGCTCAGATCAAGTCAACTGGCACACTGGGTGCCACACCAGTGGGAACTGAAGAACAACTCTGTGCTTCCTGCAGTGAGGGAAGTAAAAAAGCAGGACTCACTTTGTCATTGCAGCCTCTGCAGTTTATTTCACTCAATATACCATTTCTCATCTCTCTCCTCCTTTTTCACGTAAGGGGACTTAGGAGCAATCAGGTTTTCTCCCTTCATAGCTGGAAGCAGAGGGATTTTAGGCCCCTGATAATGCAATACTGCCTACAGAACGAGCCTGACAGCGCTTTTCTAGTCCCTGAGCCTGGCCTGGATATGAGTTTCAGGAGAGGGAGTGTCTTCACTTTATCTCTTTTGACAGCAGGCTCAGAAGGCTGAATTTTAGCAGACTGTAACATGCTGTCATTGCCTCTCCCTGCTCCTTCTGACCCACCCTAGTGGCTCATATCCAGTTAACATGCTGATTTGAAACCTTCTTTTACTGGCTACTGAATACAAGCAATATAATCTGAAAGCTGTTTAGCCACAGAATGCTAGCAAGAGAAAGCAGCAAAGCACCCTATGCAATTTACATGTTCAACTTTTCAGTTTCTACATATTTATATTTCTATGTACATGTACATATTTTAAGTGTATTGTAAGGCAAAGGTGAGCAACTTCCACACACCTGCTAAGGGGCACAAAACAGCTGAAAGAGACAGAGAGATCCTGGTGCCAAACTGCTACCATCACTTACAGGATTTTTTTTCTTTTTGCTCTTGGGTACTGCTAAAATCTCTACTCTTCCTTTCCTTGCTTCCTCTCTCCCCCATCCTCCTTTTTCTCTCTTTTCCATTCTGTCTCCTACAACATCACTTTTCCCTTAATGCTCTTCAACACCTTCTCCCTTCAGCCTCCTCTTAGTCTTTCTCCTTTAGGTTTTTCTTCTTTCTGCCATCCTCCCCTTTGTTTATGCTTTTCTTTTTTCTTTCTTTTTGCACTTTCACTAATTCTTTCCCCTCTGTTTCTACGCTTCTTCTCTTGTTTCTACCATTCCCATTTTTATTTGCTATAAAAAGACAGAAGAAGTGCTTTTTACAGGAGAGGGCTGAGAAGAGAAATAGAAAAAGGTAAAGTTAGTTCATCATGTTTATTTACAGCTACAACTGAAATACCCACCTAATGTACCTTATTTCCACAAGCTGGAATAATTTACATCAATTTCATACCACTTCCTTCACCTTCCAGTCTCTTGCAAGGACTAGCTTTAAGATTCTATATCTATCTTTTTGGAATCTCTCTCGTCCCAAAGAATGTGAATCAGGAAAAGGAACAGAGTGAAAAATTACACTTGCTACATTCAGCTGTAAGCTAATATTTGATTATATTATGAAACATCCAGAGCTAGAAATAAACTGCATATATCAAGGTGTCAAAAATACAGCCCATGGGCCAAATCCAGTAGGCAGCATGCAGCAGGAGGCAGACTGGCAGGGCCCAGGATACACACTGCGCGTAGTGCCACTCTGGAATTCTCCCCCTACATACTGGATTCAGCACCAATCCAGGCCGTGAACCACGTGGTGCCTGCTCCAGACATGCTGTGTGCAGTGCAGGCCCCAGGGCAGGTATTACACGTACAGGGAGTGCTAGATACAGCATGCGGAGGGGGAGAGGGATCTGTGGACCTAATCCAGCCTACGGACTGCCCCATGTCACTCATCTGGCCTGTGAGCTAGTCCAGGGCCAGTTTGGCACATGGAGCTGATACAGTACTCCCTGGCTCCAGTCTGGGGCTTGTGCTGAGATGGTGCAGGTTGCGTACTGCATCAGGTGTCTGCACTGGAACAGTGCACACCCCAGATGGCCAGACCTTCCATGCTGCATGGAGTGTGCACATCAGGGCCAGCCCTCACACCATATACAATTTGTGCTGACCTCATTCCAGGGTTCGCATTGCATGCTGGCATGTGTGGCTGGCACAGGGTGCAAGTTGTATGTGGCGCCCATGCCAGACCCACCCTGCACACAGGGACCCCTGTCTGCTGCACACAGGGACAAGCTATGGGCCTGATCTGGCCCCAGAGCCAGTGCACAAAGTCAGTCTAGTGTGGTCATGCAGCAGGTACCAGACCAGGTCTGCATACTATCCAGCATGTGCAGTGCATGGGATTGGTCTGGGACCCACAGGCCAGATCTGACCCACAGGCTGTATTGTTGGCACTCCCCCCCACCCCCCCCCCCCCCCCCCCCCCCCGCCACCACGTCAAACAAAACAGAATACAAAATGAAGACTAAACAAAAAGGTATTTTTAAAAAGTGGATGTGTAAAAAAAGAAAGTATTGTATGAATGCATATATCAATATTATACAAAATAATATATAAATATAAATAAATATATAGCTCTTCAAGGCATCTTGGTTCCTTTTTTGAGTTCACGCTTGCTTCTTCAGCATCAAGCATATTTCTCTTGATTGGCCAAATTTTAAAATTTACTTGTTTCAGCTACAGGCTCCATTCAAGGATAATATTGATTCTTTTGGACGAAAATGACAAAACAGTCTGGCTGTGAGAAAAAGCCAAGCCAAGGAAGTTGGAACTGGGAAATAAAAAAATGACTTGTTTATACAAGATTATTGGTTAACATGTTACTCTCAGCAGCATTTTACCTCTAGCAGCTCTTGCAGACCTGGGCTACACTAAAAATTTTGCCAGTGCAGCTATGCAAGCGAGGGGTTCATTTCTTGTTCTAACTTAAATGTCATGTTACTAGCAAAAAAGTTCTTCTGTAGTTTATTTTGCTTATGGATCCAATAGTAAATTTTGCCAGGCCGAGGAGCTTTATATTAGTATAAAATGCATGCACAGCACGAGGATTTGTTGGCATAATGAAAATAATTTCTAGTCAAGTCAGGGCCTAATGTTGTTTTCTAGGTAGAAGATACACCCAAAACATTAGTTTCCAAAACAGCTTATTTTAAAAGGGGAACCACACTATGGATGGAAATATAGTTTAGTGACAGGAGTTTTAAGGTGATTCATCCAGGTATCAGTCTTACAAAAGGTAGATCAGCTGAGCTACGCAAGTGAGTAGTCACTTGAGTAGTACAGCTGAGCCTTTTGTAGAACTGAAACCTAGATAAATCATCTCAAAACTTTTGATCATCTAAAAACTGCTTTGATAGAGAAGAAAAGAACTGCTACTTTTACAAGTGAAGCTCTTTATGTTCTATCATGGGAACAGAGACAGCTATTACAATGAGGTTATAAATGCAGTTTCTTTGTTGTATGCAAAAAATAGTGAAAAGTGGGGGTGGTGGTGGTGAAGGTGCACATGAAGTGTTTACAGTATCTGCAATAAGTGGATAATACCTTGTATGTCACCATTATGAATGAGCCACCTACTGCAGGGGAAAAAGCAATCTAGTATCTTGCTAAAGATTTCAGGTACCTGTCTGAGGTTTACTCTGGATAACAGTGTTTTAGTGCTAGGACAGTAGGGAGAAGCCAGAGGTATTACACTACTCATAATCAGCATCCATAATGGATAGTGAGCAATTTATTTACAAGCTGGCATTCACAGCTAAGCAGGTGTCATCAGGGCTTGGATTGCTGCTGAATGCTCAGACTCAGCTGTGGCAAACAGCTTTTTTCCATCTGTCTGGATGGATTGAGTCTGAGTATGACTTTGCAGATGCAGACCGTGCTACCCTTACACAGGCCTTTATTATCATGTAACCAAATTATTATAAAACTGTATTTTGGGTCATTCACAAGGTAAGTCTATTGTGTGGGAGCACCGGTGGTTTGTGAGATATATTGATAGTTTGGGGACTTCTAGGTACAAGGCAAGGTATTGGTTTCGACTTAAATGATTTCAGTTCACATTTTCTGAGAGACTTGTTTTCCACTCATGTCACCTTGCAACAATCAATGGAAACACTGGAGCTCCTTTGCTACAGAAAAGATGGAGCTACCAGGAAGCATCCTCTCTGACAGCCCTTTACTCAGAAACGTGCTTTCCCCCCCTTCAATTATGGACTAGGAATGACTTAGGATTGTACACGTAGCCAGTAATGAATCTTGATTGCTTAGCAGATTCTCATTTTTAAATATTAGCTCGAACACCCAGAGCTTTTGGACAGACACTTTTAGTAGGTAAGTTTCAAAAAGTAAATCTTGCTGTTAAATTGAAAACTGAAATAAATAACTAAAAACAAACATGTGGCTCATTTAAGAATCCTTTTGACAGTTTACCTGTTGACTGGGTTATCAGATCTGCTGCAGAACTAAATATTGATTGTGTTTCTTAAACTATGCGATTAAGAACTTCCACTGGTGAACCATCCAAAACGTTTCTAGATACCCAGATCCTACAGCAACAGGCATATCAGAAAAGCCCAGACAGACACAGCTGTCTTAACAGTGTCTCCGATTTGCTACCTTTCCATGGAAGTTCCATTAGCTCTTAACTTGGAGAAAGAAAGAGTTTTTTCCTCAAGGTGTGCCATAACAGGAGTGAATAATGTTGTGTCGGGTGACAGAACTTATTCTGATCATACACTCTTCTGTTCAGCTCAATATGGATATCCAGTAAGGAGAGTTTTCTACAGGGATAAGAAGAAAAATTAACATCTGTCATTAGTAAACACAGCAGAAGATCATAACTTTAAATCAAAGAAGCTACCAAATGGCAAGCAGCTCCAGACTCATGGAAATAATGTTTTCAATATCAGCCTTTAAGACAAATTTGAGCTCATATGCTCAAGGCTGCAGATCCTCTTTCATAAACACCTATATTATACCTCAAATATACTGACACACAATCAACAATTGGTCTCCTTTCATTCCTGACATACTGTTGTCAAGTGACAGATTTTGGAATTTGTCAGTAGGTGCAGATCAGTTTTGCCAACACACTTTCCCCTTGCCAGGCAGACTGGGAAGTTACTTCAGTTAACTCCAACTTAGGGTTATAAATGGACAGGTGTCTCTCTGTGGGAACATAAACTAGTGGAGAAGGACAAGAGGCCCTGTATGGAGAAGGGCCTGTTTATATGCAAGTGCCATCTTATTACTTAAGAATTTTGCTGTTTAAGATTAACAGCAAGACTATCCACAGTTTGGATAGCAGGCCTATTCTGTATGTTGTGTATGGGGGAAGGAGTTATTCCTCCAAAGCATGTAAATTCTGGGTGTTCACATACCTTTTCCTGGGCCTTTCCCTCTCACCCTTGAAATAATGCCAGGCCTCACACACATACTCAAAGTTCATTCCAGAATCAGAAGCTCCACCCCACCTCTAGAGTACCTTCCTTTCCCCATCTATGTGTACATGCATTTGAACCATTCCTCCAGGCCTGGGTACCACCTTTCTCTGTTTTGCCTGATCAAGATGTGCTCCAGTACCAAGTGAGATAAAAACTCATATCCCAATTCCTGTGGGACAGCATGTTCAGCAAAAATGGTTATCTAATTTCTTTCACCTTTTCTGAGGATTTCGCAGGATCTCAGCCAGGCAGTGTAAATAAAAGGAGGATGAGGTTGGGGACCTTTCTAGTGTAGACACATCCACTTTGCATTGACTCCAGAAGATGTCTGCTGCTTTGGGAATACAGTTCCAAGTCCTTTTGGCATTAGTATTGATTTTCTGTTCATCACCATCGATCTCCAGCAGACTGGTGGGTTCATGATTGGTTGCTGTTACAATGTAGCTCTGAATAAAGAAGAGCTTTGGTTTCCCTAGGAGACTAGGGCAGGAATCTGCAGTAAAAAACTGCTTCACCCGGTCCAAGGAGAATCCAGGAAAGGGCTGGTCCGTGCAGAAGATGCTCTGAGAGCTTCCCCGGCTGATTAATATGCAAATGAAGCTGTCACAGTCTTTGTGCTTTTGCAGTTTTGAAGCTTCATGCAATGTCTGGTTCATGGCCTCCACACTTAAATATTTGTAACAATGAACTTCATAACCCACTTCTTGAAAGGTCTCCTCTAACATATCTGGAAAAAGAAGAAGAAATTTAGTAAAGTGAATGTATTTCAGGGCTCAAGTACTGTCAGATATGTTAAAGGCTTTATATACTTAGCATTTTTACAACTGGAAAACAAGAGGCTTATTTAATGAGAGCCAAAGATTCAGTCAACATCAAAAAAATCAGGCAGGAGAGTGCATTAGAAAACAAACCCAGGGAACACTCTTGCCATGCTGAGGAGATAGGCCAAGTAGCATCATTGACCTTTCCCACCTCTAATTTCTAAAATGTAGTTTGTGTAGTAGTATATTACAAGAGACATTCAGAACTGGGAAGGGATGCCAAGGTTTCCCTCTCAGCCACTAGATGGAGATTTACAACCGATTCACTTTGCAATTATACCAAGGGACTTTTTCATGAAGAAAGGTCTAGAGCAGTGGTTCTCAATCTTTTTGGACTCATAACCCGCAGCCCCCCACACCACCCGAGCCCTGCCAGTGGCCCTCATTCCCAACTCACAGCGGGGGGTCGGGGGGGGATGACATGGTTCACTCCCCATAGGTCACTTGTGGTGCCCCACCCCGCCCTCGCACCCTCTCATGGTGGGAGGAGACGAGGCCAGTGTGGCCCCTTGGTCTGTACTCCTTCCACTGCTGGCAGTGTGGCTGGCACAGGGGTCCTGGTGTCAGCAGCAACACGTCTCACTGTCCTTCTCCGCCTTCTTGCGCTGGGTCCCGCTAGCCAGTCTGCAGAATCAGGGGAGGGGCATGTGCCCCTTCTTGCCCACCTAACATGCTGCCTATGGCTCCCTGCCTGCCTCGACTTACCTGTGGAGAACTGTGGGAGCTGCTCTCCACTGCTGCCTGGCTGCCACGTGCATATGTGCCCACACACGTGCACGTGGCAATCCCTGCCATATTGGCTTTCTTCCACTCCCCCTAGCCCCAAGCAGTCCCTTGCAGGCTGAAACACTTCCAGCCTGCAAGGAGAAACCTGCTGTTTCCCATGTTTTTCTCCTTTAAAGGAAAAAAATCTGTGTTCTTCCATTAATGTGGTACTGGCAGTGGTAGCAGGCTCAGCCCAGGTGCGGGCTGCCCCAGCTGACCTCTGAGATCACAATCATGTCAGATCTGCAGCCCCTGTGCACTCCCTGAAACCTGCTCACAGCCACCCAGGGGGCTGTGGGCCCCCAGCTGAGAACTGCTTGTCTAGAGGACCACTGCAGGATTGACAAATTTGGGGAGGGAAGATCTCTGTTGGCACTAAAGTGCTATACTATCCTAATGACAGGCTAAATGTTGCAAAGGAGAGCTTGTAATTTTGCCACAAGTTAATTACACATCTTGGAGGATGTCAGAGTTCAACTCTGCTGCCTCTTGTGGTGAACTGTATTGCAAGGGAGCATATTACCCTCTGAAGAGCTATTTTTGGATCCTTGTTTAACACTGGACTGAATCAGATATATGGAGGTTAAAAACCACAGGTAATTTTCATTCTTTAATGAACCATTAAGTTACCACAATGACTTATAATTGTAATCCCCCATCTTCACAGCTAACCACATCCACATAGCCTATCATATTTGCTGAAATATTTTCTTAATTAGTTTAGAACATCACACGTGTGCCTGCTGCTTCACAGACAAAGTCTGCTAGATTGCTCCTTACCCAATAAAGTTTAGAAGTCCCAAATTGGTAGAAGCAAAAATAATCTGTAACAAGCTATAACTGTATACACAGGGGTGTTCAACCTCTGACCTAGATCCACACCCAGTACTGTGTCATCCAGCCCACAGGGCTCCACGGGAGCCTCGGGGGGTTGGGCTGAAGTGTTGCAGGGCCCTGGGAGCCTGATCCCCACATGAAGGACTGGATGGAGGCAGCATGGGGCTGCTGGAGCCTGATCCCTAAATATAGGACTGGAAAGAGGCAGTACAAGGCCCCCAGAGCCCAATCCTCACAGGTGGGATTGGGCAGGGGTGGTGTTAAGGCCCTGGGGCCTCATCCTGTATGCAGGGTCCAATCCAGCCTGTGGACCAGCCCTGCACCCCTCATGTGGCAGTTGAGCACTCCCGATTCAGCTGACCTGTATGGCTACAGGAACATGCAGAGGTAAAAATCAGTGTAACGGCTAAGATCCTGAGCTGCAGCTCCCCCTCCACTTTTAAAATTAAAAGTTACCCTCATCTACAGCCAGATATTGCATTTTAAAATGCTTTGTTAACTTACAAAGAAATTTAAAAAGGTATTTTCAGGGTGGAGTTGATTTAAATCACGATTTAAATCAGCGGTCAGGAAGGCTTGATTTCAACTTTGTTTTCTACAAAAAGTGAGGTCCTTTATTCATTTAACTTCTTGAAACTTTGCACTTTTAGAGAAAGATAAGGGCTTGACTCTGTGTATGCAAACTTACAGAGAGACAACAGGGCAGATGGGGAGGTAATCAGGTCTGTTATCTCTCATCTCCATATACTGAAGTTAGCAAGGATGTTATCTCTGGAGACAAATCCAGTTTGAGAACTGAAACTAAGCAGCACAGAGATGCTTAATGGGATGTTCTAGACCAGTGTTTTCTAACTGGTGTGCCGTCAGGCACATACAGGTGTGCCGCAGCATTTTGGGCTGGAGCCACACCCCCTGCCTGCTGCTGCTGCAGACACAGACAGACAGGGGTGTGGCTTCAGCCCAAAATGTTATCCGGCTGGTTGCGCGCCACTGGCTGTGCACCACCTCTCCCCGTTGGTGTCCAGCTGGCCACGTGCCTTTCGCCCTTCCCCCCACCCCAGTAGGTGTTTGGCTAGCCATGCAACACCCTCCTCCGCTACGTGTCCAGTGTGCCATGGTGCTTTTTTATTTAGCTTAGTGTGCTGTAGGGCAAAAAAGGTTGGGAAATGCTGTTCTAGACTGAGCACTGGATTCCATTGGGTAGAGTGGTTTTCTTTAATTTTTACTATATCTATAGCGGAGCCTCTGGGAACCCTATAAGATTGGGCCCCTAATAGTGAATGGCCTGTTGTGACTTATTTATACAGCTTGTGAAAAAATCCTTTCTCCATCTCCTGGTCTAAAACAGCCTCACCCCAGCCCCGCTCCACTGGTTTACTCTAGCTGCATGATTTAAGTCCACCTGGTCACCTGGACAGCTACGTTAGAGGTTCCCAACCCCAAGACTGCAGCTTGGTACCGGGCCGCAAAGGGTTGGCTGCCAGACTGGAAGTGACCAGCATACTGTGGACTAGCAGCCAACCCTTTTGAGTATAAAAAAAGAGTCTGCAGTATGTTGGTTTGCAGTTTGTTGCTCCACGGTCTGAAAAGGTTGGGAACCACTGAGCTACGTGACCCAGGCTGGAGAAATTCCTGAGGGAGGGGGGAGCTCACTCTTCCTGTGTAACCCTAGTCCCCCCTCACCTGACGTTGCTGACATTTTTCAAACTAACCAGTCCGCAACAGCCATGGTCTGAGGATACTGCTCTATGGTTGGAACTTGGTGATGAGGTCACAAAAGCTTTTAAAAGGGGGTCACTATTTCGGAGGGGTCAGACATTTTGGAACACTGAAACAAGCAATCCGCCTCCAGAGCGCCATCAGTCTCTGGATGAACATGCAAGTAAACTTACCTGAAATTTAGCAAGTAACTTACGATTCAGTGAACTAGACACATATCAGAAGGGCCAACAAGCCTATTCTGATTTGCTAAAGTGGGTTTTCTATTAATTTTCCATTGTTTTGTATTCCTCCCTCCCTCTTTGATCAATAAAGCTAACTGTTATAGCATGCCTTGCTCTAAATGCTTATGAGGGTGAGGATAGCCTTTAGAGCCCCCTTTGCTCAGCTGGCTAAGGTGGGTGTAGGTTTTTTACTTCCCTCCAGTACAGGAGGCTACTTCTGAATGCTTTAGGCTAAAAGGAAGCACCCCAAAGTACTACGGTGGGTTAAAAGCACTCCCAAGGTCTACAGGGTCTCTGTACCCTGGGCTGCACAGAGCCCTAACAAAGACCCAGGCCCAGGTGGTAGCAATGGTTACCCCAGGCTCGTGGGTGCGCTCCAGGGTGGGGTGTGGCTGGATGTAGGCACCCCCAGGGAGACACCCGAAGCATGGTTTTTGGTCGGGGGCAGTGAGGTGGGCAGCTCAGTGCAGGAGCATTCCCTACTGGCCTGCCACACAACTTTTATAAAAAGGTTACATGAATATATTGTCTCAAATAGTATATAATTAGAAGTTATAATCCCTATTCCATGATGATATCTTTGAGCTTTAACATACCTTATATTAAAACTATCTTTATATAGGTTTACTTTTTTTAAAAAGCATCTATCTTTATATAGGTTTATTTTTTTTAAAAAGTATCTTGGGGTGAGGTGGGCACGCTAGTAGAGAGGGAAAGACTGCAGCAAGACCTGGATAGGTTGCAGGGGTGGGCTAACAAAAATAGGATGCTTTTAAATACTGACAAGTGCAGGGTGCAGCACACTTATAAGATGGGAAACTCCCTTCTTGAGAGCACGGAGGCAGAAAGGGATCTTGGAGTCATTATTGACTCCAAGATGAACATGGGCCGACAATACGAGGTCACGGTTGGCAGGGCTAACTGGACCTTATCGTGCATCCACAGGTGCATCTCAAGTAGGGCCAAGGAGGTGATCCTCCCCCGCTACGCGACACTGGTCAGGCCGCAGCTGGAGTACTGTGTCCAGTTCTGGGCACCCCACTTCAAGAGGGATGTGGACAACATTGAGAGGGTCCAGAGGAGGGCCAACCGCATGATCCGGGGACAGCAGGGCAGACCCTACAATGAGAGGCTACAGGACCTGAACCTGTTCAGCCTTCACAAGAGAAGGCTGAAGGGGGACCTGGTGACTGTCTATAAACTCACTAGGGGGGACCAGAAGGGTTTGCGGGAGACCTTGTTTTCCCTAGCGCCCCCTGGGATAACAAGGAATAACGGCCACAAGTTGTTGGAGAGTAGGTTTAGATTAGACATCCGTAAGAACTACCAGTTTTCCTCCTGCCCAGGCAGGGGGTCAGACTTGAAGATCTACAAGGTCCCTTCCAACTCTACTTCTAATCATTTTTTTTGTTAATGATAGAATCATAAATACAAAAAATCTGAGTGAAATAAAAAAAAAAAAAATCTGTTTGGTTGGGGTTTTTTTTGATTGTTGATTTTTATCCACCCTGGTATTTTTTCAAACTCTCACAAATGGTAAGAGATTGCCTGATCAAAGAAGAGTAAAAATTATTTTTTGAACTTTAAGAGAAGGAAACTAAGGGGGATGTGGACAACCTTGAGAGGATCCAGCGGAGGGCCACTCATATGGTTAGGGACCTGCAGGCAAAGCCCTACGAGGAGAGATTGAGGGCCTAATCTCTTCAGCCTCCACAAGAGAAGACAGAGGTGATTTTGCAGCCACCTACAAATTCACCGGGGGGGACAGGTAGGAATAAGAGATGCTCTGTTTACTCCCTTGGAGTAACTAGGAACAATGGCTTGTTTACAGTAAGGGTTGCCAAAATCTGGAATGGGCTTCCAAGGGAGGTGGTGCTCTCCCCTACCTTGGGGGCCCTTTAAGAGGAGGCTAGATAGCCCCCTGGCTGGGGTCACCTGACCCCAGCAGTCTTTCCTGCCCAGATCAGGGGGCCAGACTCGGTGATCTGCTAAGGTCCCTTCTGACCCTAGCATCTATGAATCTATGAAAGGCAATATACACTTGATTGGAGTACCACTGTTCAATATTCCACTGTGATCTATTCTTACGAAAAGTATTTTTGTATGTACACAAAACACAGACATATCTGTGTCAACCTAACACACACACACACACACACACACACACACACACACACACACACACACTGAATAATTCAGTGCATGCATATTCAATTAAAAACCCAAAACACTGATAGTTTATTTTTCTGTTTTGTGTCTGTAAAATGGGCTGAAAGTTTTGAATGGAGCAATTTCAAAGTAAAAAATTAACAAAGGTCAAAAGCATTACAAGAGATCTGAGGGCCACATTACATGTTTCCTAATTCTCCAATAAGTAATAAACCCCCCAAATTATGAGCAACACTTTGCCTTCTATTCATATCTTTTGTCACCACCTAAAAATATCCTCTTCCCTCTATCAAATCATTTTGCAAACCAAAGGATATAACGATAGAACCTGGCAGCCTATGACTTGCCCAACGTTCCAGAAGGTGGCTGGGTCTGACTTGAGAGTGTGATGAATTAATAATGACTGTGTGTCATTTCCAATTATCTGGGCAATAACTCAATGTTTGTGTACTTTGCAGTTACCATTTTCCAAAATTACATCAGGAAATGTAAGTATCACAGAAATTTGGTCGGTCTTCCTGAATCATTAATGACGAGAGTGGAGACTTGCCTGCAGACCCTCTCCTATTATATGCCTCAGGCTTAAATCAGCATTGACTGCAAAAGTTCTCTGTTTTCTATAGTTAGCCACTTGTGTGTTCCAAGCCCTAGTGAAATTTTTACTTGGGCAAGAATCTATCACATGGAGCTTTTCAAAGGCCCTCTGAAAAATTCCGGTTTTAACCTGGGTATTTTCTATATTGAGCTCTGTACACAAAACTGCCTAGAAAGAGGACATTTAAAAAAGAAACCATTTTCTTTCTCTCTAAAGTTATGATGTCAGTTTCTGATAAGATGTACAATATACAAAGGAAGCCCAGCTGAGTCATGAACAAAGGTCATGTGCCTTCAGCTATTCACATTTTTCTGCTGTTCAGTCAGACTATTTCCTGAAGTGCACAATTGCAACTGACTTGTTATGCAAAACTGGGCAAGTCACTGCCCTTCTCTGAGCCTCCACTTTCCTCCTTTCATTTGTTTTGTCCCGTCCATTAAAACTATAAGCTCTTTGCTGCAGGGACTCTCTCTCACTATGTTTATGTACAGTGATTAAGACAAGGTGGCCCCATTCTGACTCTACTTTAAAATAAGCAATAAAGAACACAGACTAGTTGTCTAATGAGACCTGATGTTAGTTTTACAGGATACATTTTCATGCTTGAAACGTAATCCAGCCAGCCACATTCTTTATACCGAATTATCCCCCATCTTGGAGGATAGTGAAGTAAGAGACTTTATGTTCTTGAGACCTACCTGTGTCATTGCCAATACAATCTATAATCAGACATATTCCTAAAGGCTGACTCTGCATTCTGTACCGATCATCAGGCACCTGAAATAAGTGAAAGGACAAATATTTATTACATTGCTGTGTTTGGTCCTCCAATCTACAGACTTTCTCCTTTTTAACTCTGCTTACCCACGGAAGTGGCCCCTTGCTGCCTTGCCCCATCAGTTTTGCAGAGTAGCTAGCAAAAGTATATGTGGAGATCCTACAGCAGACGCACTGAAAGGGCCCACTGCTTTCTGTGACGGGAAAGTTCAGGAGACACTAGTTTATGGATTTTATTTCATTCTATTATTACAGGGCTAACTTCTGTCCTTCACTCTATGAAACCTAGTTGCCTTTCACGGAGTTGAACAGGCAACGAAAAAATGCTAACTTTAGGCCAGACTCACCTGCCCTGGACTTCAGCATACGACTAGTATATTTCCCACAAGCACAACTGATTGATCCTATCAGATGTGCAGGAAGATAATAATGCAAAAAGAGAATGTATGTATTCAGCTTTGTCTGCATGGAAGTTAAAGATGTCTTCAAAAACATCAGACAAAGAGCTTAACGTGTATATTATTTTTTTCTTTTTCTTTTCTTTTTTTTTACCTGAGGTGAAGCTATTCCTGATTCCTGTATTGACACATGGACTGGTGCTGCTGCAACACACAACATAGTTATTCTCAGTATTTAGGCAAAATATTATACTGTGGATTTTAGTGACATTTCCTTAAATGCAAAGTAAAATAAAAATTAAAAAGTAATCTTTTTTTTTTTTTTTTTGCAAAAGACCTATCACTACCAGGCCTGTTCATTTTTCTCTAAGTTACTATGCAAGTTTAAAAAAAAAAATCCAAGTGAGATTCGAGTGAAAAATCAAAGTCAGAATGCCAGCTGAAACCTTGCACACTTGTAAGTAAGGTCCTACCAAGATGAATGCATATTGGTAGGGCAGTGGGAAGGTACCTGCAATGTTGCCAGTTATGTTGTTCCTGTCCTGGGCCTAACAAGATACTAGCATGCAGGGATATCAAATCAGCACTTTTCCCAAACAAAACATTCAATTTTAAAAAGGTTAGCCAGTCCATTTAAACACTGGAATCTGAAGGTTAACTTTGCTTTCCAAGTCCAGCTTACAGGTATGCGCTGAGGAACAATTTTTAGTCATAACAGTGGCTATTAAAAAGTTACTCTCTTACAATGTCTGTTAATTAAAATCTCTCATTTTAGGTAGCTGACCCAGTTTTGTTTTTCTCCAGCTTGGCTTTCTAATCGGAAATGTTTTTGATCAGATCTCATTTGGTTCATTTGAATGAAAACGAGAACTCAAGAGATATCCTACTATTAAAAAAACAAAACAAAAAACCACAGAATATTACAGGGAAAAGAAAGAAAAAAAAAAGCAAATTTAGTAGTAAAAAATTCTGTTTCCTAGTTAATACTAAATCCTAATTTATACTAATGTCTACTCAGACAAAAATACCTGAAAATCCATTTTTATCTAGGTTACACTGATTCTTTGATAAGTGAGTGAAAGCAGGATTTCTCCCCAACTTTCTAGCTCTCTCTTTGCATAAATAAATCACTTATTTAAATAGTTTGTGTACATGGCAATGAATGCATCTATGCATCTATGCATTCATTAACTGCTGTAATTACAGTGCATTGTTTAGTACCTGTAATAACATGTACTAACTCAATGTGCTGTAATCAGCACTACTGAGGAGTAGGGCAGACGAACGGTGTTTTGTTTATTGCTAACACGCAGCAGATTAATTAGTACACTTTTTGCACAACAGAATTACTGTTGTGCATCAATGCACAACAGAATTACTCTACTGCACAGTTAGCGTCTTAGGCAGATGCACCAAATGATGTACAGTAAAATCTGGTTCATTCATCACTCTAAGGCAGGGGTGTCAAACTCGCCTGTTCCCTGGGTTAGATCCAGACCAGGGGATCCTTGTGGGGAAATTAACATGGCCATTGCTCACTTCCAGTTGCTGACCCAGAGGGCTCTGGCACCTTGGATTTTGGTGATAGGCCCTGCCCTTGAATTCCCAGCCCCTCTAAGAGCATGGCAGACCATATCCATCCCACAGGCCACATTTTTGACACCCCTGCTCTAAGAATAGCCATCAGTGACTATTTATCAATAGTTAACCATTTTCAACTTTTTGTTTTATGCATACTAAAGCAGACACAGTAAGGAATTCTTTTTGACATATATAGTGAAGAAAAAAAGGTATTATTATGAAAACCTAGAGTGCAAATTATACACACTGGCTTCCTATGAGAATGATAACAGTATGTGTATAAATGCTTAGAGTATGATTTCTTGCTATAAAAATTCATAATACTCACTACATAAGAATTCCATGATTACAAATGGAGTAATATAATCAAAGATTTTTGCTTTGCACTCTTATAGGCACTACTCACCAAAAGAAAAAATAATTTGCAAAATGAAACAGTGGAATATGGCTTGTTTAGCCAAGAATAGCTGAAGAGTATCCAATGCTTTGTAAATTCCAGCGTGGCAATAAGTGATGTGAATTAATATAGAAAACCAGTGAACTGCCCATCAAGAATGATGGGGGGGAGGGGGGAGGAATGACACGGAGCACCGCGCACCCCCCCCATGCCGCCACCACCTCCCAGGAGCTGGGGGGGTGGGGAGTTTGCACACAGTGGCCACCACTGCCAGCCACCAGTTCACGCTGTCACCGTTCCGCGCCTGGCCACGCACTGCCCCCCACTCTGGTCCATCTGTGCAGAGCATTCTGATTGGTTGCTTCAGTGCGCATTGTGATTGGCTGCCAAAACAACCAATCAGAGTGTTCCAAGAGTGTTACAGCCAGACACACAGACACAGACTAAGCCCTTTATATATATGTAGAATAATACCAAATTTCAGAAGTATTCAGTAATTGTAGACACCCACTGTTGTCAAGTGGAGTGGCAGGTCATTAACACTATTAAGCCAGTCCCTTAACACTAGGAAGTACACAGCTTAGGTCTTTTTGTTAATAAAATTCCAAATAGGGGGTTCTTACTTTGAATGGCATGCTGTCCATTTAATGGGTGTTCTTTGTTCATATTCCACACCTAAAAAACAAACAAACAAAAAATATGATCTTTCTGTTCCTCTATTAACTAACCACAGTATCAACTTTTGAGGCAAAAAGCCTTTGCCCTCGTTTAGAAAGGGATGAGTATTTTATGAAAAGCAATCAAAGCAGCTTATACCTTGGAAAACTGGAAAAGCTTTCATAAAGCAGAGCTGCCCACCTTCTAAGATACTGATGGCTGCAGTACCACAGGCTGCACTGCAGGAGGGAATGAGGCATGCCCCATGGGCTGCACCAAATTGAGCTGCAGCCACCCCTAGGCTGCACGCCTCATGGACACCTCCCTACAGCAGTGTATGCCCACGACCCTCTCCCACCACTGCACTACAAGCCAGTGATTTCACCCCCCACTAGAGCAGTGTTTCCCAACATTTTTCAGCCCAAGGCATGCTTACATTAATAGAAATTTTCTGCGGCACACCTGTTAAGGCATTCCCCATCCTCATACCTATTGTAGCTCATTGACAATGCAAAATTCATCTGTTCATTTCTGACGGTACACTTTAGTGCCATGGCACATTGGATAGGAAACACTGCACTAGACCATGCATCAGTGTGGGTGTCCCATGCTGCACGATGCACCCACAACCCCTTCCCACTGCACCTTGCGTCTGCAAACCCCCACTGCCCCACAGCAAAATGACAATAGAAAAGGACATTGTTATGGAAGTTGCATATATATGTAAAAATGATATAAAAATAGTATATACTAATCATGTAGAATATTGTGAATGTAGGCATACAGTATGATATATAAATGTACCTTTATATATTTTATGTGTCTATATTACTTTATATAAGGATATATAGAGAGCATATTACACTTACAAAGATGAATATTCTTCTATGGGAAAAGGAACTACATTAAGAAAGCTCAAATTGCATATGTCATGATCCAATTCCTAGTAATTTAGAAGTACCCGAGGCTGACTTTTCACGTTCACTCAAGGTAACAGATCAAATCAGACACTAAGTTTATGGGGAAACCAAAGGACAATTTCTTTTCCCAGTGACAAAGCATAACTGTTAACTTCTGACAGTCAATGGGAAAAGTAGTTTTCCTTTAGTTCCTCAAAGTTTCCCAGCCATACAAAAGGATCAAGAGCTTTATTTTGTACTCCTAACTCATGGAAAAAGACCCAGTGATTTTAACAGGAGTTTTGTTTTAGTTAGAAAGGTGAGGCGAGATTCCCAACCAGCAGCTAAAATAGATTAGACAAATCAGCAATGCATTATCTTTTAAGTACTAACAGTACTTAAATTTTAATTCTCTTACTCTCCAACTTCTTGGAAGATCAATTCCTTCTTACTTCTGGCAGCCTTTATAGAGAACCCATGAATGTGGTTGATTTATTGCACACTTACCCCTGAAGAATATGGAGGGTCCACGAGAGTCAGGTTAGGAAGAGATGCCTGAAGTGCATTTATATACATTGGCTGGGCACTGCTGGGAGCCATCAGAGCTGAAAATTGTCCAGACATGAAATTACTGATGGTTATTAAAGTACAATTTTCTCCTCAAGGTAAGCATGTCTTTATACAACATAGTTCTGGTCCATGACTGAGTTTCCTAGGCACTAGTGCAAGACCAGTTTATTGTAAAAAAGGTGAGATAATCAGCTTCCCCATAAAAACGTGCATGTGCATGCACACATATATAGTCCCATATAATGTAATAAAGCCTTGAAATAGAATATACTCAGTTGTCCCTTATAAGGAGGGACAAATCTAATAAATAAAAATTTAGATGCCTCTATATGTTTGTTTCATCCAAAGCGGAATTTCCCTCATACTTACTACTGAATATAATTTTGTCATCAGAATTCTTGCCAACTCATGATGTATAAGCCAGCTTATCATATGCAAATACCACTAAAGGTAACACTTAAGACAAAATGAATAACATGCTGGTCAGCAAGTTAGGAGATCTTTATATTAAAAAATAAGGCACAAAGTTCAGCTAAATATAATGAGATCTGTGGACAGTACAGAAGACTATTACCTTAAAAAAATAAAAAAGCTATCACTGCCCCAAACAAAAAACAATCTAACTCCAAAGATACAGTATTGTATCTCAAGTACCACTTTTCAAGTTAATGAAGTGTTGAAGAACATCACAGTAGCAAAATGTTTATTTTAAATACTAGGATTTTAAGTTTTGTTGGACAGTTATTAAAACACATGTATGTGAACACAGAGGCCCACCCTCTCTATTATGCATGCCCCTTGACACAAAATGGCAAGAAGATTCCCAGTCAAGACTTGACTGAGATTCCAAGTACACTGTGGCAGAGTACTACAGCACAATACTAACACACAATACTGTGAGTGTCCACCACTATGTATAGAAAGTGAAGAACAAAGTTATACTTCTCTGAATATCGCTACTAATATGATTAATGGAAACACTTCTTAAGACTAAGTTTAGTTCCTTTACATGTGAAGATACTTCTAAAATGCAATCCAATATCTTCATCCCCAGGCATGTCTGACTCATACTAATGGAGCTATTCAACTTTTGAGGTGCAAAAAGATGCAGGTGCATCTTACCTTCCTGTTTGTATTTTTGGATCTTTTTCTTCAAGTCTATCCTGTGAATGTTCTGCAAACATTCTTCAATCAGCTCCAGTTCAGTAGGGGCCACCATATTTTGTTTCTCCAGATCAATCGCAACAGCCAGAAAACTCTATGACAGTGGCAAAAAAAGACTTACAAACTGCAGTGCCACTGTTCTGCTTCCAGCAGCAGCTCTGGGAAGAACAAGTCTATCCTCATTAGTCAAATAAAACAGCACAGGAAACACTGCAGATTTTACTTTAATCCTGGGGACTATGGATATAACTCATTTTAAGCCAGGGGTGTTAAACTCATCTGGCTCCCCGGACTGGATAGGTGGTACGGGGCCAGTCCATGGGCTGGATCATGCCCCTGGACCCCCCTGCCCACATGCCTGATCCAATGTGCTGGTTTAGGATACCAGGTCAAGTGGGCCACGTGGCCTGGGACCCAGGCTGCAGTCCAAACACTGTGGTCAGCACACCCCCAGAATCAAGCCCCAGCAGGTGCTGCAATTCAGGACCTGGCCCCAGCAGGCGCCATAGTCAGTCCTGCCCAAAACCTGGCCCCAGAGGTTGGTGTAGCCTTGGCCCTGGCCCCTGTGAGTGCCGTGAGTGGCACAGCCCGGGACCAGCCTCGCAGCCTAGGATTCGGTCTCAGTGGGCACTGCATGCACCACGTATTCTGGGCATGCTAGGCCAATTCAGTGCAGCGTGTGTGGCAGCCCTGGGGCCACTGGGGACTATAAGGCTCTACTGACTGGATCTGGCCTGTGGGCTATATGTTTGATATCCTGGTAGTCTGGACTAGACAAGAGTTCTTGGTGTCATATCACTAAGAGCTGCTAGCTAAAGAGCGCTGCTCTTAAAGAAACCCAGTTAGTTTTTGAGGAAATAGTTTTGCATTTCCTCGCTGATGCTCAGCCAGTCACTTGGAACCACATACCATGGTGCAAAAAAAGCTCTGGGGGATTTATCAGCACCCACCCCTTCCTACCTCCTGTTAGAAAAGCCTCAAAGACCAAAAAACCAAACTTCCGAAATAACCTTGTGTTACATGAGGACAGATTCATCATCTCTCAACTACCAAACCCCTTTGAATACAGGAAAAGATGCTTTGATGAAAGAATGATAAGGTTGGTTTAATATACAAAACAGGGCATGAACATGAACACAAAGGGACATGATCATCACAGTCCTGAATATATTCCATATTTATACCTATTGGGAATGGATGGGATCATGTACATGCTTTCAACAGGCAGTTATTTTAAGAGGAGAGAAGCTTTATTTCTGCTAGTAGTGCCATTGCATAAAGCATTCTTTATTTTCTTCTCTTCTCATTTTTCTGGATCTTACTTGCAGGTCCATCCTTTGGATTTTAATAGGTTTTCTTTCCTTTCAAACTTTCTTATTTCTGTGTACCTCTTCCTACTCTTTCTTTCCTTTCAATCTTTTTCCTCCTTCTTTCTGCATGTCATTTTCTTAACTAGTATCTTATTTAGCTTTAGTCCCTCATTTTCCTATTCCTCCACTTTGAAGGAAAGAGGAAACATCAATATGGAAATACAAAGAGAAGAGTTACCTTGTCTTTTGCCATCTTCATGCGTGGTACATAATCCTTGAGCAGGAAAATGAGAGAATTCACTTCTTTTTTATCCAGCTGCTCATTGAGCTCTACCATTAACACCCTGAAAGACAGGTCAGCCATTTCCAAGATATTAACTTTCAGTCCGATCCTAGTTTTGCTCAAATCCTCTCGTTTTATTCCTAACCAAATTATAGGACAGTCCCTGTTCCACTCCACACACACATTAAAAAATAGCAATTCCTGTTCATCAGCACATGGATCTCTCAGCAGGTGCAATCTGTAGGTAGAAGGAAGGTCTAGTTGCCAAGGAAAGAGACTAGAAATCTTGTTGTGTTCATTCTATTCCTAGTTTTCGCACTGATGTTTGCATGACCTTGGGCATGCTTACATACTGAAGAATCTACTAGACCACAGATATCCCCAAGGAAGCTTTAAAAAAGACTGCTCAGATACTGCTAGCAGTATAGCCATGACAGCACTGACATTCAGCGGGGTAAATTAGTCTATTTATTTAACTCCATGATGTCATAGCTAGCTGAGGTATCAGTACACTGCAGTTACTTCTGGGACTGCAGTGCAGACATACCAGTTGTCAGTCAAGACCCACATATTACAATTATAAGATTTATCATTGTTTCAGGAATCTAAAGGCAATCAGAAAATAAATCACAGAGATGTATTCACCTCACAGATGTCGGGATTTTCTCCCTGCTTGATTCTCAAATGCTTCCACTTCATGTGAACAATCTGTCGCTAGTCACCGTTTAGAGATGAACTCTAATGGTGTACTCTTAACACATTAAGAGTATATGATCATTAAGAGTACATCATTAATATCCTAAGTACTGAAAAGAAGAATTATTAGTGGACTAATAAGTAGCATACAAGGTGATAGTGCTCACAGTGCAACTAGACCTTCCTCCAGTTACACAGTGACTTTATGAGTAGGTTTAAATAGCAAAGGACAACAATAGCCTGAGCCAGACCTGCATATTCTAGTTCCAGAACTACAAGTACGAAGCTTACATAATGTTAAGTCACAGTGATTGCTCAGGATACAGTAAGGATTAAAATGGGAAAAGCTGGGAACAAGAGGCAAAAACATGATTACTTCCCATTTGGACTAAATATGCTATAGTCACTGCATTAGGAAATGATTTACTTATGTACCAGAGCCAAGGTAGGCTAGATGGGATACAAGCTGTACTTACCTTGAACTATAAAAGTACTCTTCCTTTAATCAAACTACAAAAGCCCTCAACATTCAGCCTTCAGCAGTGAGAGCAACCTACCAACACAAGCTGAAGGCATGGTGATTGAGGAGCAGGAAAAATCTCCTAATAGAGAAAAGTATTTCTCTGTAGAAATGTATCCCCAGGAGAAAAAATGGCATAGCTTTCACTTTGGTCCATGTAAAATCAGACAGGATAAAGCAATTGGGGGTAGGCTGCTGGGAACTATCCAGCACACTGCAGACTCACATGGCCCAAAATTAGATAAAGTCAAAGCGATGAAAAAGTTCACCAAATGTAATGCTGCTGGAGAGAAGAGGGGGCCAACTTTTTTGGAAGGAATGCTATGAATTAGCCCCCACACCCTCTCCAAGCCCCATTCTGATCCCATTCCCCTGCCTGATATGTTGCTCTGCTTTTTACTTCCTATCCTGTGCTCCTTGCCTAACCTGCTGCTCTGCTTTCTGCTCCCTGCCTATCTGCCAACCACTTCCCCTGTCGTCGTCCCCTACCTGGTCTGCATCTTGCCACACAGAAGCTGGCTGTGGTACTTGTGCCACAGGCTGACCACCCCTGCTGCAGAGGAGCTTTTCTATCTTCATATCTACATTCATCTTCCTTCTGGCTACAAAAGCATCACTGGTCCCTATTTCTTAATGTATATGTTTCCTGCTATGAAACTGGAAGGCAAATAAGTGTGATACCAGTCCTTTTAACAGCATAGCTCTTAAAGGCTCTAAGCCTTTTATAATTTTTCAGAATTCTCTTTTCCCTTGTTTTTTTAACCTTTAAACTGTATCTTTTTCTGTTATAAAAATGACCAAGAAAACAGCTGAACAAACAAGCTACCTTTGAAAAGGGAAATGCATGCATTACCTGTAATCAGAGACCAATCTAGGATACCTGGCCAGATCAGCTTCCACTGCTGCTTTCTGAGTCCTCAGGGACCTCTTCAGCAAGTCAAATCTCTTAACTCTGTATAACAGCTCAGACAAGCCAAGGCGTGACAGCTTTCCCCTCTCATTCAAAGCCCCTAGAAGCTCTCGGAGGTCTGCAGTCGGTAGATCAGGAATGAAGTCCCGGCACAAGAAGAGCATCATCTCCTTTTCATCTTCATCCAATTCTTGCTCAATCTGGTGAATGAGGGCAGCTGGCACTTGGCAATTTGTCATCCCAAGTTGCTGCACCTTTAAGTTTACCAGGCTTTTTTGTGTTTTAAACAGGAAGCCAACATATCCTGAAGTCCATTTTTAGCACCGTTTCACTGGCTGTTGATCTTAATTGGATGAGTTTTTAAATACGGAAGTTCTGCAGAAGAGAATTACAGGTTCTAAAATAATGATTTACCGTATGAGTTCTCTGCAAATGCTCCCGATTTGAGACAGTCAAGTTCCAATTAAAATGCTGAATTCACTTACAAAGGTCCAATATTCTTGAAGGGGCTGTCCAGCATTTCATTACGGAACCAAAAGTACTTAGTAGATTAGACTTAGCGGTGAATGAACTCCCTGAAGTTAAACTTAATTACGTAAGTCTGTAAAAATTCCATAGGAAGTGAAACAAGAAACAGCAGCCCTGACCAAGTACAGATAAACAAGAAACCTTTTAAAAATGAAATGTTCATATCCAGGGAGATAAAAAAAAATCTTAAACTTGTTTTTCTTTCAAAAAAGAGAGAAACCGAACAGAAGTCTCAATACATTTTTCAGTAAAAGTTAAAAAGCCAAGACAGGAGTACTTTTTAACTGTGACAGAGAATCGTCTAGTAATCACAGCAACTATTAGGCAAACAAGGAATAGCATGTCTACATTCAAACTAAAAAGAAGAAACATTTATTTGGAAGTATGTTCAATGACGTGACACACTTCACTACTATTATCTCTTTCAACAAATACAGCCAACCAAAAGCTAGTTCACAAAATTCTGTAACCCACAGTGAGTTCTTTTATTTCTGGTGCAAAATTACAGACATTCTACAATAAGTGATTTCTTAAAAAGAATCTTTTCCCTCAGTACATAAATTTTACTTAAATCTCTAAGGGTGTGACTGGGTCATGTCCTATCTTTTTAACAGCTTACATTTCTTTTTCTTTATACCCTTTATGTTTAATCATTTTAGAAGAGGCCCTAAATGTTTAGAGTGTAAGAAAGATATCATGATTAAAGAGCTGGACAGGGATCCTGGAAATCTGCATTCAGTTAATGCTGCCACAAACCCCTCTCTCCATCTCAACTTCCTGTCTATAAAACAGGAGTAACAGCATTGCCCCTCGCAAGGACATCATGAGGATACATACGTTGTTGTTTCTGAAGAGCTGAGTTACAATATACGTACCTAATTAGTAGATGTTTTCATGTACAACTTTTCAACATCCCCCTCCACCTTTTTTTCTAACACATTGGAAGTCATTTTCTCCATATATGGTATTTGGAAATCAAATACATCATAGATACTACTTTCATACAGCAAGTAGTTCCAAAATGAAATGAACTAAGATTTAAGCTACCTTCTTCACTCACAGATTCTTTTAAAATATGGCAGGTATTTCCTTCAAGAAATTAAACATCTATGCCAGTGGCTCTCAACCTTTTCAGACTCAAGGCATCCCGCCCGCACATTAGACTCAAGGCACCCTTTGGAAAATATTAGTTCTAACCTTTCATGCTGGTTTCTTGACTGTAGAAAAATTATAGAGCAATTATGTTGCAAAGAACCCACAAAGGCCACAACAGGCACCATTAAAAGAATTCACTGGTTGGGAATCACTGATCTATACTTATACCTTGAACCAGAAAAGGAATAAAAGCAATGGCTCTTTAAACACGCAAGTCAATTCACTATCAAGGTATACTCAGCCTTGTTTACACTAACCCATATTTTCTGTATGTTGAAGTCTGTTCTAGAATTGTTTCTACCTTAGAAGTCTCACTATCGTTATCAGGCTGGTAAAAAACAACAGGAATAGTGGCCAAAGGTTTAAAGAATGCGTCACAACCTTACTGAGACCAGGTTTAAATTATATTAGATTACAACACAAGTTGGATCCTTACCTACACTAAAAATCCTACTTTTCGAAGCAGCAGTACAAAACTGGAAAGGAAGAATTTACTTACTAACACCCCTAAAAAAACCCAACCATTTTGGAAGACATGGTAACAACTTAGCTAAAATAAAACCCTGCATTGCAGCACAGATGAAACCCAAGCTGTTTGTAACCAAGTCCCTAAACCTCACAAAGCCCTCTAGCCTAGTTTTAAAGAATGTCAAATATTCATTTGTAACTAAGTGACAGCTCTAGATGCTGAGCAGCTCTGAAATGAATACATCATGTTTCCTTAGAAGCATTTTGTATCGCCATAATGCTAGCAGCATACATGTAAAGGAAAATGCACCACCACAATGCTGCCATCACTGTACAATACTAAGGAATGCTATGCCAACAGTAAGCCTCCATAACATGGCTTTTCATTTTTGGAATATATAGTAGACACCAGAATAAAACACTTTTTCCATCATTTCATGCCACTTAGTAATACACAGGAATGAAGCACAAGTTGCTTCATTTCTATTTGCTAAGTGTAGAAAAATTCACTCCCAGCCTGGCTCCACAACACAGACTCAAGCAAAAACTACAATGAGAGAAAAATGTGTTCAAATGTCAACAGAGATTGCCCCTCCATGATGCTCTGTTAAATGTAACAGATTATACATATATTTTTAGAGCTGAGAAAAATTTCAAGAAAAACACTTTTTGAGAAAATCTGCATTTATGATCAGGAATTTTCTATACACACACACACACACACACACACACATATACCCACTAACATGTGTTCATTATGTGCTTTTACACAAACACGCAGGGCATGGACACAAATGATCCTGAGGCAAAAAATAATAGAGCTTTACTGTGTGACAGATACTCCATAACAACCACATGTGTGTATGCTCTTACCCTGTGGTAAATGAAAACTAATTCTACTGAAAGCTAAAATACCATGGATTAACTTCCATTTATGAAAGGGTACAGTGTGTACATGGACAGCATCTGTGTAGCAGCTGATACATGGTAAACCCCCACCCTTCTCTGCCTTGAAGTAACATATGCCCAAGCCCACACACTTGTACAGAAACTCATGTACACGCACAAATACATCACTATTTTTTTACTGGGTAAGAATGGAACGGGGGTGGGGAAATCTTCATGACTCTACCATAGGTAGAGGAAATTCCCACTCAATGTGTCAGAATTTGACTTGCATAGTTTTTTGAGGGGAAAAAATCTTCATCCAATTTCCAGCTCAGAAAGAAACGTGTGGGGATTCCATAGAGAAAGGAGGAATATTATTGATGTTCTTAAATAACATTGTAGCCAAATGAGTACTGGCACAAAAAAGTATGCCCATTTGAAAGTCACCATCTTAAGAACTACTCCTAGGTTTTTCAAAATAGCCTACTGGAACCAAGCATCCAACTCAGCTTGAACCTCAGCTCTAGACATTTTATTCCCTTTGGATCTTTTAAAAAATCCCAGCCTTCATATATTAGTACCTTTTATTAAAAAGGGATTTCCCAACAGAGCTCATTTTTCAAATGTGCAAAAAAAAGTATTCATACACTTCCACTGAAATTTTCTTTATCTGCTCTTTAAAACAAAACGTTTACATCATGAACTCCCACTTTTACTAATAATGCCTATTATCTGCTCTTCACAAAAAACTCCAGATTAATGTTAAAAGCCAATTTTATTTAAAGCTGAAACTGAATCTTTGGTCTAAGATGTGATTCTAGCACTAAGGTTCTAAGACAGGTAATTTAATCACTGCTATATTAGTGATACAAAATTCAGACAAAGACCAGAGTAGTCAAAAGTTTGTATCCAACCTATATATATGGGTATGTATGTATGTATGTATGTATGCATACATCTACATCCATGTTTACATATGTATATGTGGAGGGAGGGAGAGAGAGAATGTGAGAGTTGATCTCAGTCTATTTCCTGCTGGACAAGACTCCATGTTGCAAACCATCAGCCCTCTTTTATCCATCAGCCATATTTGTTAATTTTCACAAATATACTAAGGATTAAGGGCAGATCCAGGGGGGTGTAATTGCACCCTGCCTTTCATTTCTGCTCCACACAAACTTTAAAACCAACTTCCTGAGAGGGGCAGTGGCATTTCTATTTAGACAGTACTGAGAAAGTCAATTGACTTCTTGGCTCAGTGTCATCGCTCTGATTCCTGCTAAACTTTCTCCACTCCACAGGTGTTAATGACCCCCTCTCATTTTTAAGGGTCTTGATGTTCCACTACTCAAACTATGCTTCCCTATGTAATTTTGCTGTCTGTTACTCATTCCTGGTAATGTCTCTCCTCTATTTCACAGTTCTGCAGACTGTTTTAACTCTAACTAGAAATATTAACTCAGGTGTTGTATTATTAACTCAGATGTAGAAATGACTGAAAGTGAAGTATTGGATGCACTATAAAGATGCCCAGTCTGAGTAAGAGACATACATTTAACTATAATGACTACAGGACAAATGACACAATATCTTTTGACTATTTTTGCCTAGTTTGTTGTGTTTTTTAAACTTTATATATAATTTAGCAAATTAGTGCACATTCTAATAGTTATACTTGGTTTGCTTAAATTGAATAAAAAAGCACTAGTCCCCTTGCATATTACCAAAGCTCCTAGTTTCTCTTTAACTGGAAAAAAATTATCAGACCAATGCATCGGCGCACCTCTACTGGATCGGTACTGATATAAAGAAAATTAACTATATCAAAAATTGGCCTGATGTGGCAGATAACTTGGCTGATAAATACCCGTGCACAGGCACAGTTGTAGCACAACATGCAGGCAGCAAGGAGCACAGCCCACCAGCGCGGAGAGCTGCGTGCAGCTGGTAAGTCTGTTGTGGTGAAAGTGGTGGGGGGAAAGAAGGGGCATGGGGGGGAAGATCAAGGTCCCCCTTGGTGAGGGAGGGAGTGGGACTGGCGTAAGCACTGCCCCGCCCCAGCAGGATGGAGCCGCAGTGGGGGGGCGCCCCCCCCGCCACTGCGTGCTGCTTGTCCAGGAGGGCTTGCGTGGGAGGGTGTGTGCTCCTTGATCTGGATGGGGCGGGGTGGGCTGCAGCTGCGGGCTGAGGCCAGGGGCTGTGCTGTGCTTGGGGAGGGCAGCGGTGGCACTGGGAGGGGACTATGGCAAAATTTGGGGGGGGCTGCAACTCCTCCCCCATAGTCCCCTCCCAGCGCCACTGCTGCCCGCCCTGAGTGCAGTGCAGACCCCAGCTCCAGCTCGCAGCTGAAGCTTGCCTGTCCTGCCCCACCACGCCCAGATCTGAAGGAATGCTCTCCCCTGCCGTGCCCTCCCAGATGAGCAGTAGGAGCCACCAGATGAGCGGCTCCTGGACGAGCGGCATGCAGCGGTGGGAGCTGCCACCCCTTCCCTGCACCCCCCAGGACAAGTCTCAGCTCTGTCTTGTGCCTGGCCCACCTACCCCAGCCCCACTCCCTCCCTCACCGTGGGGGACCTTGATCTGAACCCCCTATGCTCCTTCCCTTTCACCACAACAGACTTACCAGCTGCACACAGCTGTATTGGAAATCAGATCAGTATCGGCCAACATGCCTCCTTAAAAATCGGGTATCAGTATCAGCCCCCCAAATCTCTATTGGTGCACCCCTAAAAAAAGGCATGTTGTGTCATATGTGATGATTTGCCACACCATCTGCATCCCCCAAAAACACAAAACCTTCCCAGAATGAGCCGGAGACTGAGCTTCCTTTCTGTGTTTACATGCAATGGCTTCAAATCATGGACAAAGCATTGACTACTAGGAAAAACTCTTAGATGTCTCAGTCCTCAGTCAAGCACATAGAGGGCCTGATTCCAGAAAGAACTCTATGTGGTCACATGGATTCACCTGCATGGAGCTCCCAGTTTATGGCCTTGAACGCTGAAAAACGCGCTGCCCTATACTCATTAAACAAAGCAGTCAGTACAGGGATGTAACTGCACAACTGACATAAGCCATCCACATGGGCCATAAGACAGATCCATTATCCATTATTCTGCAAAGGGCAACAAGAGCCTGAAGAAGCAGCACTGTCCCTTCTGGAAGTGTAGTAGCATGGAGTTATTTTCTTTCATCTGGTTTAATCAGTTGTATGCCCACCCCTTGGCATGGATCCCACGCTGGCAACAGGAAGTTAAAGCAATTAAGAACAAACCCAATGGGATTTATAACCTAGGGCTTCATGCCATTTTACTATTCCTACCTGGCAGCAAGAAAAGCTACTGAATTACTAGGTGGCACAGGTGGGCTGTGAAACAAATACTTGGAAAAGCAGCACAGTGTGTCCTGTGTCAATATCCTTGGGCCCTCATAATTAAGCAGTCCCTGTAACTTCCTGATTCATTATTATTGCAAGAAGTCCTTAGGTTTTACTCTGTCCCTCAATTTATTGATTAACTATGCCAAAACTGATACAGAGCACACTGGTCAAAACAAGTTGAGTACAATGGACATGACTCTGTGCTCTCTATGCCTAACATCTTCTGCACCTGCAGCATCACATCTACATTGTTCACTCCAGATGGGATAAGTCTCACCTAAAATCAGCTAACCCAGCTGCACCTCAAAATGCCATTGGCTCTACTCTTCCAAGCATGTTAATACAATCCTAGACCAGGGAAAGTTATTCCTGTTCTCTGAATCTCTGTTGTAAGTGTAAGGTTCCTGGGGAGCTCTAACTCCTGTTACTATCAGCAATTTTAGGGACTGGGAAAATAAATTCTGGGTATGTTTCTTATATTCAGAAAGAAGAGACAGTCAGGCTGTTCACCTCTATATCTGTAGCAGGGGATGTCCCAGGTTCACAGGGGAAAAATGACTGACTGTCAGTAGCCAGTTTTTTTGTCAGCCCAACTATTTCTGTTCAGTCAGCCAAAACCCACTGATCTTTTCGTGCATGACTCCTTCCTAGAAGAGTCTCGGAGTCTCTGGGAAATGACAAATGTCTGGTTCTAGTGACTCATAGGGTGCTGCCTCCCTGTTACTTCAAAGAGCAGCTGAAAGCAAATTGTGTCCCAAAGGGGTAACACAAAAATACATTTAAGTTTCTATTTAGCTTTTTGATCACAGAACAAAATGTGAGATTCAAATTTTGGCCCAACAGTCATATGTCGTGGTTGGACACAACTGTCCCAATGTTGCCCTGACTCTTGTCTACAGGTGCTGCATTTCGGTCTCAAATCATGAGGGGAGATGTACAGAGAAAGGCACCTGACACGATTACACAGCAATCTGCCTGTTGTTTTTTTAATAAACTGGTGGAGACCGAGAAGCCTGGTGTGATCCAAGACCCAGCAAAGCAGAAAGCAAAGAACAGCTTCACGTGACAACATGTCCCTGCAAAACAGATCCACTCATCCCACCCAGCAAATTACACTAGGGGCAACCAGCCCCCAGCATGCATGTTTCTTGCTGTTGGCTGGCATGCAACTCCAGCAGGAAATATAGTGTAGGTGAAGTAGCCAGGAGAGCAGGGCAACAGATTTTGCAGGGGGGAGAGAGCAGAGCAAGGGATCAGGCTGGAAAGCGAGAGAGAGCTGCGACCAAAGCACGGGCAAGGGATGCGGCTGCAGAGGGAGAGCCGGGAAGCGAGCAAGCAGGGCAGGACAGGACAGGACAGGACAGGGAGCGCGGAGCAAGGACGGGAGGGCAGGGGGCACGAGCAGGGAAGGCCTCAGCCAGGCCCGGGGAAGGAGCGGCCCCAGGGCGGGGAGGGCGGCTGCTGCCCTGTCCCGAGCCCGGGTGCGCCTTTGTTTCCTGCTCGTTATTTCTTAAGCCCCAGCCCAGGCCCCGCGTCCAGGGGCCGCCCCCACTTCCTGCTCGGGCCTGGCGGGGCACCTGCCCGTCCCCCCCCCTCCCGAGTTCCCCG